AGATAAGACACCTTAGGACAGACTGAAGCTTTTACTTGACAGAGTTAGGAACAGCAGTGAAGCTCGTGTTGTAAAACCTTAGGACAGACTGATTCAGTCAGATAAGACACCTTAGGACAGACTGATTCAGTCAGATGAGACACCTTGGGACAGACTGATTCAGTCAGATAAGACACCTTAGGACAGACTGATTCAGTCAGATAAGACACCTTAGGACAGACTGATTCAGTCAGATAAGACACCTTAGGACAGACTGATTCAGTCAGATAAGACACCTTAGGACAGACTGATTCAGTCAGATAAGACACCTTAGGACAGACTGATTCAGTCAGATAAGACACCTTAGGACAGACTGATTCAGTCAGATAAGACACCTTAGGACAGACTGATTCAGTCAGATAAGACACCTTAGGACAGACTGATTCAGTCAGATAAGACACCTTAGGACAGACTGATTCAGTCAGATAAGACACCTTAGGACAGACTGATTCAGTCAGATAAGACACCTTAGGACAGACTGATTCAGTCAGATAAGACACCTTAGGACAGACTGATTCAGTCAGATAAGACACCTTAGGACAGACTGATTCAGTCAGATAAGACACCTTAGGACAGACTGATTCAGTCAGATAAGACACCTTAGGACAGACTGATTCAGTCAGATAAGACACCTTAGGACAGACTGATTCAGTCAGATAAGACACCTTAGGACAGACTGATTCAGTCAGATAAGACACCTTAGGACAGACTGATTCAGTCAGATAAGACACCTTAGGACAGACTGATTCAGTCAGATAAGACACCTTAGGACAGACTGATTCAGTCAGATAAGACACCTTAGGACAGACTGATTCAGTCAGATAAGACACCTTAGGACAGACTGATTCAGTCAGATAAGACACCTTAGGACAGACTGATTCAGTCAGATAAGACACCTTAGGACAGACTGATTCAGTCAGATAAGACACCTTAGGACAGACTGATTCAGTCAGATAAGACACCTTAGGACAGACTGATTCAGTCAGATAAGACACCTTAGGACAGACTGATTCAGTCAGATAAGACACCTTAGGACAGACTGATTCAGTCAGATAAGACACCTTAGGACAGACTGATTCAGTCAGATAAGACACCTTAGGACAGACTGATTCAGTCAGATAAGACACCTTAGGACAGACTGATTCAGTCAGATAAGACACCTTAGGACAGACTGATTCAGTCAGATAAGACACCTTAGGACAGACTGATTCAGTCAGATAAGACACCTTAGGACAGACTGATTCAGTCAGATAAGACACCTTAGGACAGACTGATTCAGTCAGATAAGACACCTTAGGACAGACTGATTCAGTCAGATAAGACACCTTAGGACAGACTGATTCAGTCAGATAAGACACCTTAGGACAGACTGATTCAGTCAGATTAGACACCTTAGGACAGACTGATTCAGTCAGATAAGACACCTTTTGGACAGACTGATTCAGTCAGATAAGACCCCTTTTGGACAGACTGATTCAGTCAGATAAGAGACCTTAGGACAGACTGATTAAGTCAGATAAGACACCTTAGGACAGCCTGATTAAGTTAGATAAGACACCTTAAGACAGACTGATTCAGTCAGATAAGAGACCTTAGGACAGACTGATTAAGTCAGATTAGACACCTTAGGACAGACTGATTCAGACAGATAAGACACCTTAGGACAGACTGACTCAGTCAGATGAGACACCTAAGGACAGACTGATTCAGTCAGATAAGACAGTGTATCAGTAAACCATCTTTATTTTTGGTGGACAGGACATGGTGTCTCGATCAATGACTAGACAAGCAGCTCAGTGTTCAAACTATAGACAATCACCATGAAAAACACTGTAAGTTTCATAGACAACATTGTCTATATGACCTAATTTCCAACGATGTGTATGGTTCATTGATAAGTGTGGTAGAGAGGGAAAGTGTTCTATAAAATAATTTTTCTTTTTATATTAATTTTTACACATATTTTCTTAATTTCATGATATCAGACATTAAAGATATAGATAAGCATGGTTGTCTTGGTCAAGGTCTGTGGACATTTCAGTAGCTCTATTAGAAGTCTATATTAGAGAACCCATTTGTTCACGGCATGTAAATTGTGAATTCCAAAACTAGACAAGTATGATGAATGAGATAAGAATTGTGAAAATTAATTAGATTTTAACGTCACTATTAGCCAGTTGAGCAAAAAAGTGAATTTCACTAACACTTTGACCTTGTAAGTAACATGATTTCTATATTTGTGACTTCAGAGTAACACACCCATGGCCCTATGCTGACATTTTACATACAGTGACCTTAAAGGAACATATAGCGAAATTAAAATTGTGGTATCAAAGTAACAAACTGTTACCTTTGTCTACAACACTGTGGCCTTACAGTAACATACCATGACTTTAAGTAACAAACCATGACCTTACAGTAACATACTACAACTTTAAGTAACATACCATGACCTTACAGTAACATACCATGACTTTACAGTAACATACCATGACCTTACAGTAACATACCATGACCTTACAGTAACATACTATGACCTTACAGTAACATACCATGACCTTACAGTAACATACCATGACCTTACAGTAACATACCATGACCTTACAGTAACATACCATGACCTTACAGTAACATACCATGACCTTACAGTAACATACCATGACCTTACAGTAACATACCATGACCTTACAGTAACATACCATGACCTTACAGTAACATACCATGACCTTACAGTAACATACCATGACCTTACAGTAACATACCATGACCTTACAGTAACATACCATGACCTTACAGTAACAAACCATGACCTTACAGTAACAAACCATGACCTTTCAGTAACATACCATGACCTTACAGTAACATACCATGACCTTACAGTAACATACCATGACCTTACAGTAACATACCATGACCTTACAGTAACATACCATGACCTTACAGTAACATACCATGACCTTACAGTAACATACCATGACCTTACAGTAACATACCATGACCTTACAGTAACATACCATGACCTTACAGTAACATACCATGACCTTACAGTAACATACCATGACCTTACAGTAACATACCATGACCTTACAGTAACATACCATGACCTTACAGTAACATACCATGACCTTACAGTAACATACCATGACCTTACAGTAACATACCATGACCTTACAGTAACATACCATGACCTTACAGTAACATACCATGACCTTACAGTAACATACCATGACCTTACAGTAACATACCATGACCTTACAGTAACATACCATGACCTTACAGTAACATACCATGACCTTACAGTAACATACCATGACCTTACAGTAACATACCATGACCTTACAGTAACATACCATGACCTTACAGTAACATACCATGACCTTACAGTAACATACCATGACCTTACAGTAACATACCATGACCTTACAGTAACATACCATGACCTTACAGTAACATACCATGACCTTACAGTAACATACCATGACCTTACAGTAACATACCATGACCTTACAGTAACATACCATGACCTTACAGTAACATACCATGACCTTACAGTAACATACCATGACCTTACAGTAACATACCATGACCTTACAGTAACATACCATGACCTTACAGTAACATACCATGACCTTACAGTAACATACCATGACCTTACAGTAACATACCATGACCTTACAGTAACATACCATGACCTTACAGTAACATACCATGACCTTACAGTAACATACCATGACCTTACAGTAACATACCATGACCTTACAGTAACATACCATGACCTTACAGTAACATACCATGACCTTACAGTAACATACCATGACCTTACAGTAACATACCATGACCTTACAGTAACATACCATGACCTTACAGTAACATACCATGACCTTACAGTAACATACCATGACCTTACAGTAACATACCATGACCTTACAGTAACATACCATGACCTTACAGTAACATACCATGACCTTACAGTAACATACCATGACCTTACAGTAACATACCATGACCTTACAGTAACATACCATGACCTTACAGTAACATACCATGACCTTACAGTAACATACCATGACCTTACAGTAACAAACCATGACCTTACAGTAACATACCATGACCTTACAGTAACATACCATGACCTTACAGTAACATACCATGACCTTACAGTAACATACCATGACCTTACAGTAACATACCATGACCTTACAGTAACATACCATGACCTTACAGTAACATACCATGACCTTACAGTAACATACCATGACCTTACAGTAACATACCATGACCTTACAGTAACATACCATGACCTTACAGTAACATACCATGACCTTACAGTAACATACCATGACCTTACAGTAACATACCATGACCTTACAGTAACATACCATGACCTTACAGTAACATACCATGACCTTACAGTAACATACCATGACCTTACAGTAACATACCATGACCTTACAGTAACATACCATGACCTTACAGTAACATACCATGACCTTACAGTAACATACCATGACCTTACAGTAACATACCATGACCTTACAGTAACATACCATGACCTTACAGTAACATACCATGACCTTACAGTAACATACCATGACCTTACAGTAACATACCATGACCTTACAGTAACATACCATGACCTTACAGTAACATACCATGACCTTACAGTAACATACCATGACCTTACAGTAACATACCATGACCTTACAGTAACATACCATGACCTTACAGTAACATACCATGACCTTACAGTAACATACCATGACCTTACAGTAACAAACCATGACCTTACAGTAACATACCATGACCTTACAGTAACATACCATGACCTTACAGTAACATACTACAACTTTAAGTAACATACCATGACCTTACAGTAACATACCATGACCTTACAGTAACATACTACAACTTTAAGTAACAAACCATGACCTTACAGTAACATACCATGACCTTACAGTAACATACTACAACTTTAAGTAACAAACCATGACCTTACAGTAACAAACCATGACCTTTAAGTAACATACTATGATGACATACCCGTGACCTGAAAAGCAGTGACCTGAAAGGCCACCACTGTTGAGTGGCCATGTCCTGTTGTTGTAGCGACTTTCGGGGAAGGCCCCCCACTGTAACCCGCCAGAAAGGTTTTGTCCCGACCCCATAGGACTCGTGTAACCATGAGACGGTCGCTGACACATATCATGGGAGTATCGACGCGGCACCGTGTGTGAGCCAGAGAGGTCCGGGAAGCCATGCTGTTGGGAGGACAGTGAACTTGTAGGAAGACTTGCACGATGGGGCCAAGTGTTGCGACCCTGGCCCCCCATCCCTGTGAAGTCGAGACATCCATCTGACCTACGGTGTGTTGGCATCTGTGAAATAAACGTCAGGATTAGGACCTCAGAGTAGCTTGTACACATGTAATGATGTGTCTGTACATATAAATACCAGGTACAGTCCTAAATAAAGATCAGGATTAGGACCCCAGAGTAGCTTGTACACATGTAATGATGTGTCTGTACATATAAATCCCAGGTACAGTCCTAAATAATGATCAGGATTAGGACCCCAGGGTAGCTTGTACACATGTAATGATGTGTCTGTACATATAAATACCAGGTACAGTCCTAAATAAAGATCAATAGTTCAGGATCATTAATGTCAATGTTCCATTATTTGAATATAAAAAGCATTCTAGCTATAGGTAAACTTGACATATATTTGGGACTTTGAGTGACTCTTACCTATCTTAGGGAATTAAACTACTTTAACCTGCAGTATGAACTTTACCTTGACCTGGGTTAGGAGTTTTCTATCACCATGACCCTTTATTATGAGCGTCCTTGACTTGTCTTGTGTACTTTGAGTGATCTTTATCATACTGAACTAAGTTGTGTTGGTATGAGAACCGAACACCAAAAAATAAAATGTCCTTAGAATATGCAAATAATTCTGTCCTATCCTGAAGATGGTGAGTTACCTTAGAAAGACGTAGGTCATCTATGTCCCTGGGGGATGGGGTACGGCTAGTGAACACTGTCGGCACACTCAGGTGGGTCTGGTTTTCAGGAATAGGTTCCATGTGACCAGATGGTCCACCAATCCCGGACAGGAGGTTAATGACAAGGTCAAGGTCTTCCTCTGTGGCAGGATGGCTACTGATAGCTTGACCAGGGCACTGGACACTGACAGTCTGGCCTAAAACCAAGGAAAAGAGACCAAAGTTAAAATAGGAAATGTCAGTATTAATATTATGTATACCCCACAGCTATGTAATTCCATGATACTTACTGGTAACTATATATAACTTCTGTCTGCAATTACATAGAAATCCTACTACAAATAAGGTGTCAGGGATGTACATGTAACAAGTCACTATACTGAAGATTATATTGAAAATTGTTTATTATTTCACTTTTTTCTGTTAGGACACACACATGTTATATGACAATTTCAAGGACTTTCTGTCAATGAAATGTCATGGACTATCTGTTATCAAAATATCATGGATTATCTGTTATCAAAATGTCATGGACTTCCTATTATTACAATGCTATGTACTTCCTGTTATAACAATGTCATGGACTTCCTGTTATTACAATGCCATGTACTTCCTGTTATAACAATGTCATGTACTTCCTGTTATTACAATGTCATGGACTTCCTGTTATTACAATGCCATGTACTTCCTGTTATTACAATGCCATGTACTTCCTGTTATTACAATGTCATGGACTTCCTGTTATTACAATGATATGTACTTCCTGTTATTACAATGTCATGGACTTCCTGTTATTACAATGCCATGGACTTCCTGTTATTACAATGCCATGTACTTCCTGTTATTACAATGTCATGGACTTCCTGTTATTACAATGCCATGTACTTCCTGTTATTACAATGCCATGTACTTCCTGTTATTACAATGTCATGGACTTCCTGTTATTACAATGCTATGTACTTCCTGTTATTACAATGCTATGGACTTCCTGTTATTACAATGCCATGTACTTCCTGTTATTACAATGTCATGGACTTCCTGTTTTATGACCCTGTCGTACTTGGTTTGGAGATTACTCACCTGCAGATTTTGTCTGTGCATCGTCCCTTGCATTATCTTTATCCTGCAGTTGCACCAAGTTTTCCTCTTCTCCAGCATCCTCATGCACCGGATCTAAGCCAATCGGCACCAGGATATCTGATTGGCTTTGGGGTGTCACATGACTGCTGGCGAAGGGATCTAATTGGCTACTAGCACCAGTCGGGTTAAGGTCTACGTAAAAGGCACACTTGCTCTCATCAGGGGAAGATTTCCGTTCAAACAACGAGAACAAAGAAGTTTTGAAAGTGTTGTTCTTGTTCAGTTTTGGAGATCCATTGGTGGGAGTATTTTTCTTTGGCAGAGCAGCACCACTGTGAAGAGGGGAATCTCGGGAGACTTTAGGAATGAGATCTAAGGAAGCCATTTGCTGAAGCATGTCTTTATTCTCTGTACTTTCATAGATTTGGACTAGTTTGTTGAGCAATGTTGTCAAGGTAACAGAACACATGTGGTGATAGTCTGAATGGACTTTGAGAAACAACAGCAGACATTGGCACAGCACCTGTCAACATACACGAGGACAAAATACTGACTATTCTTCTTCTTATAACTATCATAAAGCTAGACTTATTTACCTCCTTAATGAAGAGAGTTCCTAAGTACAGTGGTTAAGCAATGTGCATTAAATTGATAATCAAGAGGTCCAAGGATCGAATCCTTGTTGTAGAGGCAAGTTGTTTTCTTGAGAATGGAAATTACAATCAACTGTTTCTTTTATACAATTCTTTCCTATAGTAAAAGGGCAATTGAGCAACTCCAAGGTATAGAAAAATTGCTTATCAAATTAAAACTCTTCTGCCCTTGAGTTACATCCAAGAACACCAGCAGTGGGACGTACACTCAACTTTAATCATGTTTTCGTCACTATTAGATCTGTATGCACAATGCAGTAATCAAAGTTACGGGAAATATTCCAAAGAAAGTAATAGGTTGTGATTTATGGCAAATATGATAAATTGTGATACACCTTTACATCAACATTACACAGCCCTTAGCCCTATAATGTGCATGATGCATGCTATTCTAATGGCTGTATTTATATATGAACCCAGGAGTTAGAGGAGACTTTCTCAAGTTTTCAACTCACCTGAGGGTTAGTGGAACATTTCTCCAATCTTACAACTCAACTGGGATTCATAGGAGAATTTCTCTTATTTTACCACTCACCTGAGAATTAGTGGGAAATTTCTCAGATTTTGCTACTCACCTGAGAAGTAATAGGACTTTTTCAGATTTTACCATGCCACTCATCTGAGAATTGGTAGGACTTTTCTCAGATTTTACCATGCCACTCACCTGAGAATTGGTAGGACTTTTTCAGATTTTACCATGCCACTCATCTGAGAATTGGTAGGACTTTTCTCAAATTTTACCATGCCACTCACCTGAGAATTGGTAGGACTTTTTCAGATTTTTCCATGCCACTCATCTGAGAATTGGTAGGACTTTTCTTAAATTTTACCATGCCACTCACCTGAGAATTGGTACGACTTTTTCAGATTTTACTATGCCACTCACCTTAGAATTGGTAGGACTTTTCTCAGATTTTACCATGCCACTCACGTGAGAATTGGTAGGACTTTTTCAGATTTTACCATGCCGCTCATCTGAGAATTGGTAGGACTTTTCTCAAATTTTACAATGCCACTCACCTGAGAATTGGTAGGACTTTTCTCAGATTTTACCATGCCACTCACCTGAGAAGTGGTAGGACTTTTTCAGATTTTACAACTCACCTGAGAATTGGTAGGACTTTTCTCAGATTTTACCATGCCACTCACCTGAGAATTGGTAGGACTTTTCTCCAGTTTCTCTCCCTTGTCCAGTCTTGACTTCAGACCTGACATGAGCTTTTCCATCTCCCTGAGTTTCCCGCCTGGGTCAATACCGTTACTACTGCTGTAGACGGTCTGAAACGCTCCACATGTCTCACGTCCCAGCCGCTCACACCGAGTATCCTTGGTAACACTTTGGAGAGAGTCGAGAAGATGGGTGCCTGCCCCATCAAACTTCTTCCACGCGTCCAGGTACTCGACCACTCCCTCGTAGCTGCTCTGTACCTGTGCAGCAAACACACTCTCTCCCTCCTCAACAAAGAATGCCGACTGTGATTCACCAGCTCCCAGAGGTCGACTCCCAGAGGTCATCAGTAGGTGTTTCTTCAAGCTCTCCATGGCAACAGAAATTTGTCACCCAATCAGACTGCCTAATACAAAATCTCTTTCGTATGTGTTCATCATGATGGCATTCAAATTTTTCCAACAATGGAATATGACTAGATATGCTGATCAACGGTGGAAGGTTTCTAGCACATTGTTGCTACATGTACGTATTTATAATTGGATGCTATGGAATTAATCACTCGTTTGATATGGAATGCACATGATGACCTTGCACGCCATAACAATCATATTTACATTATGACCGTTGAGGTCAGTGCCAATTTGATTTCCTTTTACATTTTTTGGGGGGTTTGTATTTCCTGGAAGTCTGTGCTGTCTGTCTGATCTGAAACAAATAACAGCAAAAACTGAAGTGTAGTGTATTTCCACTTTTCCTATCCCACTTTACTATTCTTATATATGCAGACTCAAATGCTTTTAAGCTATCTTAAATTATTATTGTTTTAAACCATTTTTTTAAAGGAAATTTGAGGTTATACTCTAAGGAGAACAAACATTGTATGTCATGTTAATTTTAGCACATTAATGATTTCATATTTTAAATTATCAGCTTTATAAAAAAAAAAATCACCCGATCATGATAGGATACAGAATAGTTCATACATGTATACCAGAATTCTTGGAGATCAATCTGTGAGCTTTACAATCATTTCAACCCTTTCACCACTGTAGACCATAATGGACTCATCCAGATCAATGCATGGTAAGAGTTTACTTAAGTTACATAGGGGTGAAAGGGTTAAGGGAATATAAAAATATTATTTCAAAACCACTAATCATTCCTTAAGAAAACAACTCACTTTATTGAAGTATGTATAAAGTTAGAGGTTCAAGATACTGTCAATGATGATTAGTAATTTTAGATGAGACTAAAAACAGAATACCAAGTAAACTATATGTATTTCTGTACCTTACCTCACTGTGTATGTGGACTTAGCAGCTGTATGACTTCATGTGTTATCCATATCATACATACATTGTATATACATAGATTGTTCTGTTATCAGCATCACCCAAACATCATCCTGACCGATCACATCGAGGACTGATAATGATATAATGTGTAATATATATCAATAAAATAATGCTGTTTTCTAAATAATTTTGGCCTTTTAATTATTAATCACCTTAATATTTCATCATATTAAGGTGAATTAATAAACACACACATGACAAGTTTAATGAGGGTTAACAGTTATACAAATGTATCAATAGTGGTCAGGTTTAACACCCCCCCTCCCCATTTCAATATTTGTAAATGATATGTGTATGAAGCAGTGGGATGTATATACATGACATTAAATGATGTCACTTGAAAAAAGATCCCCCAGAAAAATGATGAGGGTTTGTTTAACCCCCTTCTTGCAAACATTTGAATGTGACCACGGTTTTCGAAAACATTCAAATACCCACTAAAATCTCAAAGGGAAACATTGATTTAGTTTTGACTCTATATATATAAAGGGGCTAACTTTGCCTAAATTTGACCATAATTATATCTGACGCAAAATGATCACTGTTGATAACAATGTACTCCTGTTTGTCACCTCTCGGCCAGTAGTACCACTGCCCGTCACCTCTCGGCCAGTAGTACTACTGCCTGTCACCTCTCGGCCAGTAGTACCACTGCCCATCACCTCTCGGCCAGTAGTACCACTGCCCGTCACCTCTCGGCCAGTAGTACAACTCCCCGTCACCTCTCGGCCAGTGGTTCTCTTCTCGGCCAGTAGTACCACTGCCCGTCACCTCTCGGCCAGTAGTACCACTGCCCGTCACCTCTCGGCCAGTAGTACCACTGCCCGTCACCTCTCGGCCAGTAGTACCACTGCCCGTCACCTCTCGGCCAGTAGTACCACTGCCCGTCACCTCTCGGCCAGTAGTACCACTGCCCGTCACCTCTCGGCCAGTAGTACCACTGCCCGTCACCTCTCGGCCAGTAGTACCACTGCCCGTCACCTCTCGGCCAGTAGTACCACTGCCAGTCACCTCTCGGCCAGTAGTACCACTGCCCGTCACCTCTCGGCCAGTAGTACCACTGCCCGTCACCTCTCGGCCAGTAGTACCACTGCCAGTCACCTCTCGGCCAGTAGTACCACTGCCTGTCACCTCTCGGCCAGTAGTACCACTGCCTGTCACCTCTCGGCCAGTAGTACCACTGCCAGTCACCTCTTTGCCAGTAGTACCACTGCCAGTCACCTCTTTGCCAGTAGTACCACTGCCTGTCACCTCTCGGCCAGGAGTACCACTGCCCGTCACCTCTCGGCCAGAAGTACCACTGCCCGTCACCTCTCGGCCAGTAGTACCACTGCCTGTCACCTCTCGGCCAGTAGTACCACTGCCAGTCACCTCTTTGCCAGTAGTACCACTGCCAGTCACCTCTTTGCCAGTAGTACCACTGCCTGTCACCTCTCGGCCAGGAGTACCACTGCCCGTCACCTCTCGGCCAGAAGTACCACTGCCCGTCACCTCTCGGCCAGTAGTACCACTGCCTGTCACCTCTCGGCCAGTAGTAACATTTTGTGTAAGACATTGTATATTGGTATTTGGTTCATTGTAGTTGACAGTCAACTTGACACCGTTGTAAAGCGTCGAGTCGCTTCTTAAGGTGCTTCTGAATGCAATTCACTCCACTTCTGGTGGCGTTTAGAGGCATTTTGAGTAGACATTTATTTCTCAATACTAGTGAAATTTATGTATATGTGCAATAGGTGGTAAACAAGTTGCAACCTAATTTCTTTTAAAATAGGAGTTTTTAGTTATAAAAAGGTCTCACATGCCTGTTTAAATAATAAGTACCAGAAAAAATGGTTATTATATAATTTACTAATATATACACAGATTGTGATTGATTAATTTCAGAGCTGGGCTGTTTTCGTTTATCGTGGTCCAAACAGGTCGTACCTAGTAATCTGATGCTGCTTTCAGGCGAGCCTTGACAAAGCCTTGCAAGGCCTGCATAAACATTTGCAGGCCTATAGGTCCGCCAGGATTTATACCCAAAAAAGTTGCATTTAAAAACAGACATACCAGTTTTTCCGAATAAACGAACAGGCCCCTGGCAATTGAACTATACTTGAAAGTGAAGATATTAAAAGGTTTCATGGGTTTAATAAAGCTATATTTAATTGGTATTAGGGAAGTCTAACGTTACATTATTTACCCAGCTAATTAGTAGAAAATTGGTTCTAGCTTGTTGGAGTGATTTCTCCAGTGTTTGTTTAACCTGGTCTGAAAAGAAAACACGGATAGGGCATTTACCACTTGATTAGAAAGACTATTCCAGTTATTTACAATTCTTAACTTAAACGATCTGGTTATTCTGGAGTTCCAAACATTGACTTTGTACTCGATTTGACAGTCACATTCTCAAGTCAAAAGTGGCATCCTTAGTGACAAAACCGGAAAACTTATCATGTCCCCCAACACAAACAATATTATCAGTATCAACCTATTAAAACTATATAACCAAACCAAATAAAAACGTGTCCTCGTCAAACACAGCTTGTTTGATGATGATATTATGCTAAATATACGGTGTTTACCTTCAAAAACGCATGCAGCAATCAAACCGGAAGTAGGTATCACCCCTTCTTTTGGTCTGTCTCTAGAATTTTCATTGACTTGCGCACAAACGCACGATAAACCACAAGGATCACGATAGAGGACGTGAAGGTCACTTTGGTTTCACATTGCACCGGTACGATGGCGGATATTAAGCGAGCTCAATTGACTTCAGAAAAATCCTGGCAAGCGTTGCAAAACTACTTTGACAGCAATGCCGCAAATATTAATATGCTGGAGATGTTCAAGATCGACCCAAAGCGATTCGAAAAATTCAGGTAAGTTACTGTCAAATGTTGACGAAACAAAACTGATACAGATGTCAAAATGGGTAACACTCGTAGAAAACAAACATTCTTGGGAATCCCAAAATATTTACTGGTAAGGTAAGGTTAGCAGACGACAAAGGAAAGACTATAAACATGGCTGAAATGCATGATTACAGCATCATTATGTTCATTCAGTTTGCTATTGTTTTAATCTAAAACTTAGTAAAAGACAAGAACTGGAGGATAAAACTAGATGTGTTGAAAATCACGATTTTTGTTCTAACCTGATTGGGAATGGGGGCGTTTAAAGGAGCAGGAAAGTACATTCGATGTTTAAGGACATTCCAATATGGCTGTCACACCAAACAGTATATCAAATTAAATAATGCATTCTGTTAGCATTAAACAATCTCTGTAACAAAATCATCATCATCCAATATTTCTCAAACATAATTGAGCTACATCCACACTAAATTTCAGAAAAAAAACACATTTTAATAACTGATCAATGCAAAACTCGCTTTTTATACGTTCATTTTCCAAGCTAAATAAAAGTCACAATTCTGGAGAAAAAAACCACATTTAAACTTGTAAATAAATATCTTAAGGTTGGGTATCCATGGAGATGCATTTGTCAAGAAAAATGTGAGAAAATGCTTCAAATCTCGAGAATGATGACATGTATTTTGATTGGATATTTTACAATAATTCATCAAGCTAACAAGCCTTTTGATATAAGTCAAGCCATATTACCTGAGTGAGAACCTGTAGTGAATGGTGCACAGGTAAAATCTCACTTGCTTTTTCCCAACCTCAGCCAGCCTTGTTCGCTTTGTGCTCAATTGTGATTTATTCAGGGAAAATATATGCCCTTATTCTGGAGATTTGACACATTTTCTTACAGTTTTCTCGACAAATGCATCTCCATGGACATCCAACCTTATGATATTTACAAGTTAAAATGATTTTTTTTCCTGAATTGTGACTTTTATTTAGCTTGGAAAATGGACACATAAAAAGAGATTTTTTTCATCAGTTATTGAATGGTTTTTTTCTGAAATTAAGTGTGCATGTATCTCAATTATGTTTGAGAAATATTGGATGATGATGATTTTGTGACAGGGATTGTTTAATGCTAACGGAATGCATTATTGAATTTGATAAACAGTTTGGTGTGGCAGCCATATTGAAATGTCCTTAAAGGGCATTTAACTACCATATATCGACCTGTTAAACATCAGATGTGACTCGGTGATGCGTGACATTACACTAATTTGTAAACCCTTGAGTGAATTAAGTGACTACATCCTGCTTTATGTATATAATTTTAGGAAATATTTGATCCGTCGTTAAAGCTGTAACAGTGTTATCATGTCAGGCCAAAGATATAAAAAATTATGTTTCATGTGTCTTAATTAACAAGCCTTTTTCAAATATAGTCGTGACTCGTGAATAAATATATATATATATTCCAATACAGCACTTGGCTTTGGAATCAGAAAAAAATGTGCATGTCCTTACACTAAAAGGAAGAAGTGAAATTGGGGAAATTTGGTATAATTGTCCAAAACAAAAAATATGGTTCATTTTCATGATAATTCATGTAAGTAACACATGTCTGTTAATAATAGATTCTAAAGTTGCTTGCTACATTTCTTCACCTGTCATAAAAAATATTGATATGTGCAGTTTTTCCCAGTCCCAAATTTCCATTTCCCCACAATAAGTTAAACGACTATTGGCCAAATGTATTCAACTGTCCTATATCAAGCAGTAACAGAAAGCCAGGGCTTGCTGGGGATTGATTTTCAGGTCCAAAAGTCAAAGGTAAATGTCAGTGTTGATATCAATAGAAAATTCAATTTTGCGTAGAACTTGACAGTTACTGTCTGCTGTACACTATTTCTGTCATTATATACACTACTATGTACACATTGATCAGTATAAAACATCAAACCCTGCCATCCCCTCAACTTAACACTGATAGAGATTAGTATTGTTCCACAAGTCAATATGTCTCTGTTTTGAACGCCCCCTCCACTTAACACTGATCGAGGGATTAGTATCGTTCCACAAGTCAATATGTCTCTGTTTTTAACGCCCCCTCAACTTAACACTGATAGAGGGATTAGTATCATTCCACAAGTCAATATGTTTCTGTTTTTAACGCCAGAGTAACCTTTTGGACCTTTGATTACTCTGGGGGTTGTATGACACCAGTGACAAATTTAATGAGATTGCATATAACTTAGACCACTTGCACCAATCGCTTAAGAAACCTTCCCAGCTCAATAAAATCCCCTGATCAGCCACACTTGTGTTTTTTTTTTCTTTTTAAAGAAATATTAACTTTCTTTAGTATTTCAATTGTTTTTGATTTTGGGATTATTTTAATCAGAAAGAAATTTGATTATAAAAATAAGATATAAGATTTATGACAAACTTTATTTTTTTAGTCGGTGGGCATGCATTTAAAAATACCAAATAACACGAGCTCTATAGAGCTTTTAGCCGACATACTTGTTACATACAAAACATTGATACTGGAGATAGGGTTAAAATATCAAGAACGATACTTCATAGTAACCCTTTATCAATTTTTATTTTTAAAGCAGCAACGTATTTGCATTGGTAATGTATGATTTAGGAAAAAGTGCAGTGACCCTAGATTTAGAAATTTGGAAAAGATGTGACAGTTATTTTTGATTAACCAACATTTTTTTACATAGATCCTTAATGTCAATTTGTCAAAAGTGACTAGAAAGTTAGAAACACGTTTTGAATACTTAGTTTGGCCTTAACAAAAATGGTGTGTAGTTATTGATATAAAACTGTCCATTGCCTCGGGCAGAAGAAGCTTTCAGGACGGCCTGTTCATTACCGGTATTTTCTTTTAAATCCGACAAACCTCCTAAACATTTATACCAAATCAGGGCTGGGACATTGGAAACAGACGTTTTTGATGTTCAGCCTATCATTAACATCAGATAGAGTAGTAAACTGGCAGCCTGTAATACAAGGTTCAATGATTTCGTGTTACGCAGACCAGGTAAATATCAGATTTGTTAAGTTGGTAAAAATGAGTTTTTGTGTTTGTACAAGGTGGAAATTCGATACAAGCTCTGCATTGCCTTATGAGTCAGAATACACCATTCTGAAAGGTAACTTTCATCTAGTTTAGCGTAAAAAATCAGCAGTAAAATTGCATATATCTTAAAAAGCATTGTACAAAAGTATTAAATTTATAGTTCCGGGTAATACTCTTAGAAAGTTTGAGTTTAAAACCCTTTCACCACTATAGGCCATAAAGGACCTATCCAGATCAATGCATGGTAGAGTCTACTAAAGTTACATAGGGGTGAAAGGGTTAAGGTAGAGAGTCTCTTCAGTTTTCTGCTGTAAAAAGTGGTCTTATTTAAGCAGTAATTTCATTTTTCAGTCAAATTGGTTATTTCCTCTTTATTCATAAGAGGACAATTGTAGATGGCGTCTTTTAAAGGTGTTAGAATATTTTGAAATTATTCTATGTAATGTTGTTAAGTATTATTAAATATCATGATCCTGTTAACCCTAGAACATCTGATAAACTTCTTGTATCCAAAATTAATCTATTATCCAGGCAAAGCTCACAGTCCCTCATTATAAGGTATTTCCTTCCTGTTCAGGGGAACTGTCCTCGTTCTTGACAGCATATATACAATAGCTACTGTCATGGGTGGAAATACATTTTACAAGTACAAGTCCCATGGTGGAGCTGATTTTACAAAAAAGGAAGTTGTAATGAAAACTTTTTTTTTGTGTTTTGTGTTTAAAATGGTCTGACCTGTCTATAGCGACCGCCCTAAGGATCAGTTTTTAAGAATGATTGCTATAGTCAGGTGGTCCCGTTTTTAAGAATGATTGCTATAGTCAGGTGGTCCACGCTATAGACAGGTGAGATCCGGATGTTGTAGAGTCATTATCTTGATTCTTTCGACTTTAACTGGTACAATGTAGGACCATAACTTCACCAAACGGATCTGATCAACTCTTTACTACAGGAATTTGAATACTTAGATCTTGTCAAAAAGTCTATAGAGGAAATTAAAGTGCAATATGCTATTCCAGTGTACCAAATTGATAGCATTAATCTCATTCCTGATACAGATATCCAATTTATCATTAATGAACAGCTGTTTTTAGAGACACTTTTGATGGATATAAGGGGCAAAACAATATCATACTCTTCATACAGGAAAAAACAACAAAACATTCGAGAAAATAATCTTAAAGATGAGATAAAGAATATTGAAGATTCAGAAAGAATAGATTGGGAAATGTTAGAAAGGAAGAAAAGAGAACTAGAAAGTATTCGACTCCATAAACTAAAAGGAAGCATAATCAGGTCTAAAGCAAAATGGATAGAAGAAGGAGAAAAACCAACTAATTATTTTTTTAATTTAGAAAACAGAAATTTTACATCCAAAATTATACCAAGAATAGTAAAAGAAAATGGCACTTTAATTTCTGATCAAGTAGACATTCTGAACGAAATTATTTTTTTTTATAAAAAATTGTATAATAATGATGATACTATAGAGGATGTTAACTTAGACAATCTATTTGAAAATATTGATATTCCAAAGTTAAATGTTACAGAATCTGAAAACTTAGAAGGTCCTATCTCTATAACTGAGGCATCAAAAACTCTTTATAAGATGAAAAATAATAAAAGTCCTGGCTCAGATGGATTCACAGTCGAATTTTTTAAGTGCTTTTGGAAACAGTTAGGTATTTTTGTAGTAAGATCTATTAACAATAGTTATGAAAATGGTGAACTATCTGTAACTCAAAAACAGGGCATAATTACTTGTTTACCAAAGGGAGATAAGCCACGTCAATTCCTAAAAAACTGGAGACCAATTTCTCTTTTAAATATAGTATATAAAATAGCTTCTGGAACAATAGCAGGTAGAATAAAAACAGTCTTAGATAAACTTATTAATACTGATCAAACAGGTTTTATTTCT